AGTCCTTTGTCTATGACCTTGGTATCTTGTGTCTTCTGCCATTTTTCCATGAGACTGTGGCAGGCCTACTTAATACCTTATAAGTAGGTTTAAGTTTTATGTAAGTTAAAAGTAGATTAAGTCTCAGAACGTTCAAATTCTTGACACCCAATGATGCCTATGAAATTACCATGTTTAACAGTTAATGTCCTTTACCAAGTTTTCCAATGCCATCCTGTGCTCTGTCTTAAGGTTTATACTTTGTCTACTTCAAAAATACGAAAGACTATGTAATGTGTCAAAATACCATGCAAGAAAACACTTCAGGAAACTGTCAATCTCTGTAGTGGAAAAAAAAAATGAAAAATTTGTTGTCTTTTTACATTTTGAGAGACTGAGAAATAGCAAGAGAAAAAAAAATCCAATGACTGGCAAAGCCTCTTAGTAAGGCCCCGCAGCAGGTGTAGCAGGTAGACCCTTGGCCTTGGATACAGCTCCTGAGAGATTCTAACTGAATAAATGGTATCAAGAAGCAGCAAGTGAGGTCCAGGGGAAACAGGGTAGACCTGAGTCACAGACCCATAAAGAATCAAGTTTCCTGCCAGTTCATGAAGCATTAGACTGGAGGTGTCCAAAAGCTTTATGCTAGTGAACCAGCAAGCGTGAAGCTAATGACTAATGATATTCCATTGCCAGGTGGAAATAGGATTCCAGATGTTTCATGACTTATGCCGTGTAGATTAGGTAACTTAGGAGAATGCCTACATCTGAACAAGAGTCAAACATACTAAACAGAATGAAGGTGACAAAGATGTTCAGTTGATGCTAACAATGACCCCAGCCAGGATGAGGAATGGCTGCTTCCCTGAAAAATGACTATCCATTTTAGCAGACATCAGGAGGCTGGAGGAATTGTCATATTCGCTACTATTTTAAATGCTTGAGAGAAAAATATCAGAATGCTGCTGTCAGTAATTTCGGTAAAAGCTCGACTGGATAGGACATATATCCCCAGTCATACCAGGGAGACGTGGAAATATCTAAGAATATAAAAATAAGGAGAAAAAGAAACTACTGTTGAATGTTACGTTTCCTGACACAAAATTAACATAGTGTGGCAAAAATTTTCAAAGTGTCATTTCTGTGTGCAATATGGGGGCTGTCGAGCTAACAACAAAAATAACCTGGCCAGTATGCATGCTTCCATGAAGCAGCTAGTAGACAAAATTCACTTATCAAATCTTGCTAGCAGCCTTCTTCCACTGGGAAAATTCATTTCTCTCCACCTGACCGCAGGAGAGACTCGTGAGGGACAGAGCAAGGTGGAGACATAGTTCTAGCTCTCTAGGGAAGGCAATTCAGTCCGAGGACACACTACAGGGACCTCTGTCAAAACCTGGTTTTCAGGTGAATGGTTTTTCTCTACCTAGTTTCCAGGAAAGAAGTTACTTAGCTCTGATACCTATGGGGATGATAGGTTACTTGGCTATATTGGCTATTTATGGACACATGCGTTATTATTTTTTAATCCTTAGTGCACTTTCTGAAGAATCATACTAAAGAACTTTATCCCAATAGGAACACAGTATTTTCTCTAATCAGTGACAATGACTTTTTTGCTTTCAGAATCATCTATGAGTTTCCTAATAATAGGACATAAACTTATTAGATATTCTGATGCAAATCTCCAGGGCTTTGTAAAAAATAAGGTAAGGATTTCACAGCAATGAATGCAAAGAGATACCCTACCATTTATACCTGAACTTTCAGATAATGGTCTGCACTGATTTCTGAACAGTACAAATGAGAACACATGCAGATGTCTTTTCCTCACTTGGGCCTAGTAGTTTTACACAGAGGAAAAATACTTAGACCATCACCACTAAGTCTAGGCAGTATTGGGACACACATCTGCTGTGAGCCACAAGAGGACCAGATGGAAAAGTAATTCAAACACATTTTGACTTGATGGTGGGGGTTAGTGGCATCATTTATACAAGAGTTACAGCAGATTTAGTTGGGAAGAAATTTGGCTGACAGATCTCACTAGATGGCACATAATGCTATTGGTATTTAACCATTAGCCCTTCTCTTTCTAAAAACATTTTAGAGAAGAATTTCTTTTTAAAAAATGCTGTATTTTCTGCTTTTAAAAGCTCTTCAGAATCTGTGTAAAGATCTGTAGTAAAAGACTCCTAAAGTGAACAATCATCTGGAAGTTTATGTAAGTCAATCATAAATATTAGTTTTTCCTTTTCTTATAGATACAATTCTGAAATATAGGCCACAATTTCTGTAGATGTGATGCAAGAAAGCACATCTTAGGCAACTATTTTTCTCTGTGGTAAGAAATGGGAAGTTTGCGGGAAGAAGGTAGGCTTAAGGATGGGGCAGTATAGATTTGTACACCACCATGAATTCTGAGGAACCATGATAAATGGTTGTGATGGGGTCAGAACACTTGGTTCTCCTCCCAGCACTGTGCCAGGAAATCTGAAGCAAATCTTCCAACCCATTTGAGCCTCAGGAAAATAAGGATAACATCTCCCTAATTATCCAAATGCACAACATGATATTAAATTATAGCATTTGGGAGGAAGGGAAAGATTGCTACAAAAAAATGTGAAGTGTATTTTGATCCTATGACTCCATAAGGGTCAAGAGCAAAAAAGGGAGTAAATCCCTGGCAAAACTGGACCACATAATGCCAGGTGTTTGATGCAAGACAAACATCTGCATGTGTGATTATACTTTTTATTCTTCCTCCAGATGTTGGGATGTAATAAATGTTAGGGATAAGCAAAAAGTCCTTTTAAAAAATTTGAAAATGAGACTTGGACTAGATATGGTGGTATATGCTTGTGATCTCAGTTACTCGGGAGGCTGAGACAGGAGGATTGCAGGTTTGAGGGTAGCCTCAGCAACCTAGTAAGGCCTCGTCTCAGAATAAAAGCTAAAAAAGGTTGGGAATGTAGCTCAGTGGTACAGCGCCCCTGGTTTAATCCCCAATATGAGAGGAAGGAAGAAAAAAAAAGAGGATCCAGTCATAATAGCCCAGCAATGAGATGCTACCAGGATGTTTCAAAGAATAACAAAATAGACTGAGAAGCAGCTTTCTGGCACCCCAACACTATTTCTGTCTTAAAGGTAAAAGTCTTTAAATCAGAAGTAAGCCTCAAGTCTTCTTTTTGAGATCAGTCTCTTATGGAATTTTTATATACTTATCCTTTCCAATTTTATTCATCAGTTACACATTAGGACAAGAAAGCTAGATTTCTTTGCTGGTTCTGATTTGAACTATTAAACATGATGGATAGCTCTTCTAGATACTAAAAGAATTTTTTTTCTTTTTTTTTTACCCCAGGGAAAAAAAACATCACCATATGATGCTTACTAATTTGTAATTATGTATGAATTCAAGCCTTGTATTCCATATTCAGATACAGGTATCAGCTGTGTGATTTTACTTAATCATTTTCTCCATATCTACCCTTTCTCCGAAGAGGAAAATGACATTTGCTATTTATCTTCCTGAAAATATACTGACATAACTAGTGTTTCCCAAATGCATGCTATGTATATGTACAAAACACTTATTTTCTGTGTTGCTCTTGAAGTTTAACATATTCTGTTTTAAAAGATAGGATGACCTCAAATTCAGCTCTGATTGAACAAAATACCCAAGGAGCCATTTTCTGCCACAAATATTAAGCTTAAAATTTTAAGGAAAAACACCAGGAATAGATACCAACAAGTCCCTCTCAGCTTGGGGCTGTTCTGTATCTCCTGGATTACATAATCATTCAGAAAAAGACTGAAGGTGCAACTCTTGAGTGCAAAGTCCCAAGGTTAAGTGCTGAGCTACAACTTTGCAGGGATTTTTTTTTTTTTTTTTAATATTGCCTCTGGAAGTACCACAACGTAGACACAGCAGTAGAAGGCAGCATTTGGAAAGCACTGGCTGTCATGGACCAGTCTGTTTTCCTGATCCTCAGAGTCTCAATATTTTCAGACTGACATTACTCATCCATGACTGACCCATCTGCCTGGGACAATCTTCTATGGCTTAAGGATCAGGAGTAACTAGACATGATTGAAAGCTGTGGTGGAGCCAGCCTGCTCCTGCAGAATGAACTCTGAGGTTCGAGAGCCAGCAAAAAATTGGATAGACAATGTCGTTCCATTACATCCAGTTCTGCTGAGGTCATGGAGTACTGTCTTGCTTAAGTTAAACTTTATGCCATATTTAGTCAACCCTCCTAGAGTTAAAAGTTTAGTGTCTCTGCTGTGTTTGGTTGGCTAAGGCTACATCGGGCTGTAAGCCATAACACTAAATAAGACCAAACAGTGCTCACGGCAGTGTTAACCAGCATGCATTGTGCAAGCACCTATGCCCGAGAACCATGCTGCAGGTTAATGTGAAAGAAAAACAAACCCATAGTGCATAGAGCAATCTGGGAGACAGCTGATGCTCAAGGCTGCAGTGAACAACATTATTGCTTTTCTCCAAATGAAACTAAGATGACAGAATTTCTCCAGGAGAGCCTGCCAGTCTGCACATAGTCGGTATACACAACATGTGCCAGTAATTTTAATTTTTTTCTTTAGTATTTAACTTTTATCTTAATTAGGGCTACATTTTCTTTGCTTTCATTAATTTTGTTATTCATCAGTTTAATTTAAACCTAACAGCTCCCAGGGTAAGAAAATTCAAAATTGCTCGCTTGATTGAGCAGACCCATCTATCCAAATTATAAAGTATTAAGACCCTGATGTCTGGGATTAGGTGTGTCTTATTTTTTTATACTCTCCCTTTTCAATGGCCACTTTTAGAAATGATTTTGCTCTACTATTAGTGGCTCTGAAGATGTCTACTGACAGTGCAGGTTGCAGCCATTCTCCAAACTTACCCGTCACGACTGTCTTCACATTGATTTGCATGTTGGAATCCTTAAGGCTGCACAGAAGAACCTGTCTGATGTAAACTCATCTGTTTTTCCCTCTACTCTCCCTGAACTCACCTTGGGGATGCAGAGGTGTTCCTAGGGAGGAGGGTAACACATGGAGAGCCTCTTTCGAGTTTAAGGATGAAGAGTTCTGGCTCAGAGGGGCAGGCAAAGCAGGGGCTGCCGGCGAGGTCAGGTCCAAGGAGAGGTCAGTTCTGCCGTGGCTTGCACTCCGGCTTCTCAGCTCCTTCTCGTGTGCCTCAGCTGCCAACTGTTCCAAGTATTTGTATCTGAAAGTTAAATTCCAAAGGGTTTCCGTAAAAAGAAAGAGGAGCCCGTGGCCGATGCTTGTTTATGGATAAAACACCTGCAGGGTGAGCTGGTTTCCTGGTGCACAGAGCACAGCGCAAAGCTGACTGGAGGGTCAGTCTGCCAGAAACACCCAGCGGAGCCAAGATGCTAATGATTAAAAACCCTGCATCATTCATAACCAAACAAATTGCGGGAAGCAGCCACATCGCAGAGTCCCAGATCCTGCATCACTGCAGCAGCATTCCGTTTTGCTCTTTTAGGAATCATTTGCACCAATAAGCAAAATAGCAATAATGACCATTTAGAAGCTTTAACAGTGACAGCTGAGGACCAAACCCCCTCAGAGCACGCAGCTGCGAAATAGGAGGACGCTCCTGGACTCGGTGTGATGGAGAGAAACAATGGTCCCAAAATAACAAAAGGGTCTGCTTGCATGAAGGCCTCTTGGAATTTCTGAACCTGCTTCAATGCTAACAGCAATGCAACTGGAATTTACTTTGTTCTTTCAGCATCAACCATGGAAACTTTTTTTTTATATTCTAAAATATTTCTGAGTAGGACTCAGAGACATCCAATAGCTTGGACCTGACGTCACATATAGTTTATTCATCAAAGTCAGTTTAAAAGAACAAAGATACATCTGTTTTGCATTTCAGGCAGGCAAAACCCACTGTTTATTAAGACCAGCTACCAATCATATTCCTCATAGGGTGCTTTATAGATCAGACCAAAATAACTCTGAAATATGTGCCTCTTCCAGATGTCTGCTAATTTTACCCACCATTATTTGTGCAGAATTCAGCTGCAACAGGTCTCTGAGGATATTACCTACCGCTGAACTGTAAAATAGCTTACTTGGGACCCTCACTCCACACCCATCTGGATGCACTGCTTCAGCCCCTCCCAACCCACCAGGGACCCACCCAGGCACTAGACCTGATGCTCCTAATTCACCAGGATGAGAAAGGCAAAGCACATATTTAGAATCTTTACGAAGGATGCATTTAGAAAGCAGGCACCTCTCCATCCCATCCTTGAGTGGGCGTGGCTCCCGGTCACCAGTACCCATTCTCCCAGCCAGCACAAAGGCAGACTGTCCTTCACCCATTCTTGCACGAGCTTCTCGCTCTGTGAAGCCTGCCTTGACCACCACAGCTGGAAGCCATCTCGGTCTTGCCTCTGAACTCATGTCGGATATGTAGCCCATTCAACTCGGATGGCATTTTACATTTACGGCCTGGCATAGTCATCTTTTCACATGTGTACGTCTGTTTTCAACAAGCAGCTAATATGATTTTTCAGAACAAGGAAGATTACCATCCTTTGTTCTCTCCCTCAGTGCCTTGCACTTGTCAGCTGATGGAGAGCAGGCAAAGTGCACAGGGAGAAACCTGCACAGCAGCCTCCACCTGCACAGGCCCACCTGCGGCCCAGGGTGCCGAGGAGCAAAGGCGCACCATTTCGTTTTCATGGGCAGTGAGCCTGCTTTCCTGGCGAGTCTGATAAAAGATGTGTGATGGGTTGTGCATACAAACATCTGAGACTTGGTGCCAGAGCAGATGCCTCACAGGGGATGAGGCTGTACCCAAAAAGAATCACACTCTGGACTTCTTTGCCAAAAGCATCACCTCTTCAAAAGGTGTCATGGTTTAGATCTGGAATCTCCCCAAGTTCTTGTGTTCAGAAGTGGGACTTCTGGGAAGTGAGGGCTCTGACCTCAACAGTGGATGGTGGAATGGACTACTAGGAGGTGAGGCCTAGTTGGAGGAAGGAGGTTAGTGGGGTCGTGTCCTGGGTGGATTTATCTTCTCTCCAGCCCCTTCCATTCTTCCTGTCTCTCTGCTTCCTGGTTACTTGGGGATGAGCAGCTTTCCTCCAACACACCCCTCCACCATGATGCTCTGCCTCACCTCAGGCCTAGAACAATGGAGCCAACCAATCATGAACTGAAACCTCTGAAACAATGAGCCAAAATTAAACCTTTCCTCTAAGTTGTTGACTAACACAAAAGGTAAAAGAGGTAACAAAGAACATGTTTCTGAACTCAGTTAAGATGAGCAAGGAAACCTCCATCCCCTGCCAGGCTGGGAAATAAAAGGATTTTCATGGCAGTATGTTGAGACCCCTGGAAGATTTTCAGATAGTTTACTCAAGGCCATGAATGCTGTCAGCCCAGGCATTCTCACACTGAGTCCATGTCTAGGACAGGAGAAAGGGGAAGGCAAGGAAGGAAGTACAAATAAGACTATCCACAGAGGTCTAGAAGATCAGAACCCAAGAACAGGAAACCAGGAAGTGTGGTAATGAGGCCTTGCACAAAAACCTTCCACTCAGGATGATGACCTCTTCCGGGGTTCGTGTTAGCTGGTCCAGCCTTGGTCCTAGCTTTCCATATCCCTCCCTATCCTTCCCTGTGGGCAGCCATTCTGGCAGACATGGGCTGGCAAACAAAGGGTTCACACTACATTCTGGGGGACTCTCATCCCAGCTGCTGATCCCAGAACCAGAACAGATAAAATACAAAGACTACTCCTATGCATCCCTCGGTCTCACAGATGCCATCCTGGGGAAGAGTCAATGGTTTAACCAGAATCATCCCAAGGAATGAGGATGTAGACAAAAATGGCTGGGGTGGGGTATGGTGTTTAATGGGTACAGAGTTTCTGTTTAAAAAGATAAGGGATATGGAGACTGGTAACCCAACAACGTGAATATACCTGATAGTACTAAACTCTTGAACTATACACTTAAAATGGTTAAAATGTCCAAGTGTGTCCTGTGTGCTTTATCTGTTAATTATATATAATTTTAAATAGCAGGGGCAGAGTGTCACAGAGGACAAGAGTGAGGGACAGGGTTACCTGTCTTCCCACTCTAAATGATCCTGTCAACATAACTCCCATGACCTGGCCGGACCCCCTGACCCCCAAAGGAGCCCTGCCAAAAGTGACCAACTCCGCCCATGGCCTAGCTCTGCTAAGATTGTATATATAAAGCCCAGAACCTGGCGGCCAGCAGCCATTTTATCCCTGAAAACGAGCCACAGGAGGTGTTTGTCCGATTGACCCCGCTGCTGAATAAAGAGAAGCTTGCTGATCTGAGATCTCCTCCCTGACTCCGTCATTTGTGCGCTCACAATAACACTGAACTTTTCTGGAAGAGGAGCAGCAGTGTTTGTCGACAGCAATCGGGGGTGAGGGTGGTGGGCTGGTACTCATGGAAAGAGGCACAGTAGCCAGCAGCAAGAAGTTACAGCTGAGCGACCCTCCTGCCCACAGGTCCTCTGGAGCCCTGGAGAGAAAGTTGGACCCGTATCATGGCCTTCCCTTAGATAGTGACTAAAAGCCCCAGCATTCAGGGGCCCAAACACACTTGATCTGGGGAGCCCATCAGCCCATGCAGTGGCTGTCATGTGTCTACTGCCTCATGAAGCAACAGCAATGAACAGAGCATGAGGGAACCTCCTGTGCAAAGCCGGAGGTGTGGCTTCCAGTCTACAGAGCATGGCCCCAGGCACAGACCTTCCACCTTTGCTGCCTTCATCTAAACATTCCCATTTCTCCTCATTGTGCCTCATCCTATTTGCTCATTCATCTTTTCACTTATTGACTGGATATTGGCTGAGTCCTTTTCATGGGCTAAGAACTCTTGTAACAGAGAATTAATAATAGACAAGAAAGGTAAATAAACTGCTGGAATAAACCCAGCATCCACCAGGGTCTGGTGGCAGGGCTGGAGCTGTGGCTCAGGTTTTTTGCACAGAACTCTGTAGAAACCCAACCTGAGGTTAACCTAAATCTAGTCACCGACAATGTTTCCTGCTTCCTTCCTCCTGGAAACTCTGCCAAGCTTGGCTCCTCTAACTTCTATTCTCAGTCCTTTTAAGCAATGCTCAGAATCCTTTCTCACCGCTTCATTGTTGACTTTTGTGTATAAGTTCCAAAACTCCCAAACCAGCCCCTAAATCTTGCCTGTGCTTGGTTTCTGAAAGCCATGCTCACCAGGTGGCATTTCCTCTTTGGATCCTGCTACCCAGCTCCCCCCTCAGACTAAAAAAAAAAAACCTAGGCTGAACTGATGTACCAGCTACCCCACCTCCACCCCAACATGTCCCCAGACTGGATCTCATTATACTCCACTCCACTCTCTGAAAAATTCATGCACTTCCCTTAAAATGGATCATATCATATAAAAACTTTTCTATTTTTAAAAAATTAGAAGCAGCAACTCCATAGAAACATTCCTGGTCTATCACTGTCAATAAAATTTGTCTGAAACCATGGAAAGATAAATTTTATTTTAACTGGATGGTCACTGGACCTCAACATAGCAAAACAATGATTATCTTCTTCAACTAACATGACACAAACCCCAAAACCATTGGTCATGACTCAGGCCATCATTCTCTGAGACTTTTCATTAAGAATCATTGAATCCTGGAAACGCCCCCTACTCTATCTTGAAGAGTTAATAGGTGGAGTTCCTTTCTTATTTCTGAACCTCTTTCTACCTCTGATCTCCACTTAGTTGCTCCATTTATTTCCAAATTCCATTATATTTGGAGATCTTATTATTTCCTGGATTACCAGGAACACTCAAAACTTTCCAAATAGGGATTAGAGTATCTCTCCCTCACTCTTATTATCACCAGGTAATTCAAGAAACAAACTACCCAAAAAGTGTTTGATCCAAACCAAAGGAAAATTATTGCCTGCTTTTTATCAAACTTCTGTGAAACCCCAATGTGGGCTGAGGGAAGGAGCCCTCATGGGGCCATGGGGAGTCTGCTCCGGCACCTGCTAAGGCAACCCAGGCAGATGGGCAGCTTGTGGTTGAGGACCAAAGACAGCAAAATAGGGGAGGAGAGGATTGACAACTCCTCTACACAAGTCTGCCAGGCATAAGCCCTTATTGGGAAAAAGAGCAGCAAATAACCACCCCTGGCTTTTCAATGGTTCGGAAAAATTCTGAAGTCAGTCTGAACCACAAAGCACCTTGACATTTCCCCAGGAGCTGTCAAGCTTTGCCTATATAATCTGATGGTCAAGTTGTAGGAAGCTCAAAGTATAGACTCTGGAGGAAAAACTTAAAAAAAAAATTCCTTAAGCCTGGGCAGAAAGTCAACAATATTTTCAGTAAGAGGGAGTATAATTTATACACCCCCACCCCATGTTATAAACAGACACTGGTTAGAGAAACAGAAGTTTCTGATTTCCTTACCAGCATCTTTCATTCTGAATTTACTAGCCACAACTGGTAGTTAGGATGACAATAATCTAATAGAATGTTGAAAATAAAGCATTGCTGTAGTTTTATTTATGAGGCTGACTTAAGCACCTAATTTTTTAATTGAGCACAGACAGTCTCCACTCTGCTCAGACTGTCTTGATCTATTTAGCTGATGGTGTCTAAAAAATTAGCATGATTCCACATCTTGTTGGCACAGTCCAGAAATTGTTAGGTTCCCAGCTGGCTCCAATACAAAAGGTGTAAAATGAGCCTTTCCGTCTCTCCATGCTGTAACGCCATCTGGTGGCAGAGCTGACAACTGCAGTCTGTACAGTGTAGAGGGTAAAAACTTGTCTAAAACCAGTTTTTTTGTGTGTGTTTACCTACATTTATCAAACACTGAGTACGCTAACTATTTTTATTGGGTTTCAAGCCCTGCTTCCACTGAAATTAATAAGCTAGCTTACAGCTTGAATATCTTAAAACAAAGCTGCTGGTTCATTTGCTCATTTGTGTATTCTACATAACATTCCTAAGTGCCTACTACATACCACACACTGTGGTGGGCACTGGGGGAAGCAAGGTAAACCAGGCATAATTCCTGACACTCAGAAGCTGGGTGCAACTCAGGAGACGGGGGTATGATCAGGCACAACCAGCAAGAATCTCGGGTGTGTCTATCACCCCTTACTATGTGTGTGCTCAAATATTTGTTGAAGGAATGGCAATGAAGTGACATGGAAGCACATGCTAAAGGTATCTAACCTGGGCTGAGCAGTGGTGGTCCATGCCATGTCAAACAGTCATACACTGCACAATGGTGTTTTGGTCATTGATAGATGATATATACAACAATGGTCCCATAGAAGTAATTTCAAGGACAGATCCCAGCAGTTAAGTGACAAGTGACAATACATGTACTATGTGTCAGTAAGGTAATAGCAATGTGCTCATTTGGAGAGGAGCACACATGCATTCCACCATAACACTAAATGATAAAACTTTACCTGGAAAAACTTACACAACTATGGCACCCTTTCCCGTCCCTGCCCCCCCCCCAATGCCAGTTACACAATGCTTTAGGTGCCTTAGAAGAAGTTAATATATTTTAATGAACACAGTCTCCTCTGCATGCTTGGGTAACAGTGCAAAGTCACATACTATTTGGTTAGAATGGCAAAGAAGAGATACCAACCTTCCTTCTCTTGCTTGTCTTTGCTCTTCTCTTTTGTCTAAATACTCTCGGCTAATAGAAATATGCACAACAAACGGGGAAGGAAAATAATAATAAAATTAGATGCTTATAAAATTATGAAGTTATTATTAACAGGATATCATGAAAGCCTGCTATTTAGAAGTGAAAAAACATGTTCAATTTTTTTTTAAAGTTTAAAGGCTGTACTTTAAAGTTCTAAACACAATGGATTTTCAATAAAATCACAAAGACATTAAAAAACAAAAATATAGGATTCACTCAGCAACACTATTACTCTGTGGGGAAAAAAAGGTAAGTAGTGAGGGAGGAAGAGAAGTTTTAAAATATTCATTTATAAAATGTGGTGACTATGAGTAAGCAATAGTTATTGGAGGTAATTAATATTTGACTGAGCTCCAGTAGTTCCATCATATCCATCTCATGAAATAAACTTCTTCCAGGCATGGTGGTGCTCACATGTGATTACAACACCCTGGGAGACTGAAGCAGGAGGATCACCGAGTTCAAGGCCAACCTCAGCAACTGAGACCGTCTCTCAAAAATATTAAAGGGATGGGGATGTAGCTCAGAGGTAAAGCACTCTTGGGTTCAATTCCCCCCCACCATACACACAAAATCAATCAATGTGTGCCCAAAGGTTGTGGCCATTTGTGTTATACTCCGCAGTTTGGACACTCCTTCCACAGTCCAGGGTTCTTTCTCCCCATCATCACACTCTCAGTTTCTAGGTCGGGAATGTTAGGAGCTCTGACTTCATGCATTCTTTGTTTGTAGCCATATGATGCCCATCTTTGTTCAACTTTAACATTTTGTTTTTCTCTTGATCAAGTTCCAACTCGAATCTGATTTTAAGACTATTTCGTTAGTCACCTCTCAGTGGACTATTTTCCTGGAGAATCAAGACATGGTTTTCTACAGTGACCTTCATGATGGAGCTTAGTATTTATTCTATTCCTAACTGAATAGAGTCCCTAACTGGATTAAAAGGGACAGTACTTCATGAAGACTGAAGTAGGTTGGGGGTGGGCTGCAACTAGGACTCAGATTGGTCATCACTTATAAACATTATCCTTTTCCACGCAGAAATAAAATTTCTCATAACCTTGAAAACTTAAAACCACATTCAACAAAAACAACCGATAAGGAACAACAACAACAAAATCACAGAAAGGTTAACAATTTAAGTTAATGAAACCAGTGAGAGGTGGCCTTTCTGATAACACTAGAGACCACCATGTAAAGCTCTTCCTATATCCTTTTTCAAATCTCATTTCATTCATTCTCAGAATATGGAATTGCAGTTACTATAATTGAGTTGCCTATGCTCTGCCCTGATGTTAGCTTCCTTTCCGGAAAAAAAAAGTCATTCTGCTGGGTATCTCTGCTTTCTTAAATGACAAGTGAAAATCATTTGGAACCAAGAGCAAATGGCAGACAGCTATGAACAATCTCCTATGGCAGGATATCCAAGTCTAATCCTCAACGCTGTGTGCATGTGTCACACATACGGGGCTCAATATATATTACAACACATTCTTTTCCTATTCTCTTATACCCCGGGGAATCTACACATGAATTCTAGACATTTTGGTGTTCTCCATGGGTCTCAAAAACTGTACTTAAAAAAATTTTTTTTGTAGTTATAGATGGACAGAATGCCTTTATTTCACTTATTTGTATGTGGTGCTGAGGATTGAACCCAGTGTCTTAACGCATGCTAGGCAAACCACTGTACCACTGAGCCACAACCTCGGCCCTTATTCATATTTTTCAATTTCTGTTTCGTTTTCAGATTAGATAATTCCTACTGTACCACCTTCAGGTTCACCGACTCCTTCCTTTTCTGTTGCTCAGCTAATGTAATTTTTTCATTTTGATTTAAAACATATTTAAGTTCTATATGTATGTATACACAGCCTTTTTTTTTTTTCTTTGCAGAGATACCTCTTCATTTGTTTCAAGTACATTTGTCTCCTACTGTTTTTTGTTGTTGTTGTTGGGGGAGGGTACTGTGGATTGAGCACAGGGGTGTTTTACCATAGAGCCACATCCCCTGCCCATTCTATTTTTTGGGACAGGGTCTCACCAAGTTACTTAAAGCCTTAAGTTGCTGAAGCTGGTCTTGAACTTTCAATCCTCCTGCCTCAGCTTCTCAAGTTGCTGAGATTGCAGGCATTGCCACCATGCCCAACTGTCCTTACTTCTTGAAGCACATTCACAGTAGCTACTTTAAAGTCTTTTGTAATAATTATGACATCATCTTCATTTTGTGGTTATCTTTTGATTATCTTTTCTCTTTGAGTTAAAATTTTCCTTGGGTTGTGGCTCAGTGGTAGAGAGTTGCCTAGCCCAAGTGAGGCACTGGGTTTGATCTTCAGCATCACATAAAAATAAATAAGGTATTATTGACCATCTACAATAAAAATATTGTTTAAAAATGCTTTTTTCCTGTTCTTTGCGGGACAAGTTATTTTGAATTGTATTCTATAAATTTTAAATATCCTATAATGAGTTTCTGGGCATTTCTACCAAAAACAATCTTGATTTTTGTTTTTTAGCAGATAGGTTAGGTTCAGCCTGTGAGTTCTGGCCTGCCTTCTGATGTTGTTTCCAATATTAGTTCAGTTTGCGTCTACTTTTAGTGTTACTAAGATCAGGCCCTGTATGCACCACCCATTGGCTAGTCAGGGACCTGGGTGATGGTCTTCTATTTAGTTTTTAAAAGCTGTGGTATGTGGTTCACGTTCAGAGCCTTCACTTGCACACATCAGAGATGGGCTCAGGATTGCTCACTCGATCTCCCTGCTCTTTGCGACTAACACTTTCAGGCTTCCTTGTTTTCCTTGCTGGTCCTTCAGTCAAAGCTTGTGGCTTTAGCTGCCCTGCTCTGTTGCATACTTTGCTGACTGCACTTTTATCCAGCCAAACAGCAGCAGAAGGCTAGACAGGAAAATGATTTGCCTAGTGTCACCAGGCCACTGCTCTGCTGGACAGGGGATGGGCTCTCCTCTCAGAGTGTAGGCTCCAGCCTGGGCGTGACTGCTATCCTGTGCCTTTGAAACAATACTGCTTGGAAGCTGGGCCAGGAGAAATAGAAAAAAGTAAAAATGGAGAATTTCTCTACTCTGACCCTTAGGAACTACTTTGTGCCTCAGTCCAGGAAAAGAGGGCTTCTTTTGGAGTTCTTTTGGTCCACACTGATTTGCAATTCTAAGTTTTGGGTTGCCATTGAGGTCATGTCATGTGACACTGGAGAAAAATAGTGAACTCTCCCTGGTGGAATTTTAAATGCTCATCTCCTCCCTCGATTCACCTGCTCTTTCAGAGCTTTCAGCTCTGGATTCTGTCCATGACTTATACGTGCACTCAGTGATTCGACAGGAGTGACAGGAAACAATGTGCCAATTTCATTTGTCTCAACATTGACGGCATTTTAAGATAGGGTGCCAATCAAAAATTTGGGGTATGTAGGCTAATCTCTGAATTCTCCACATCTTTCAGTCAAATTCCCTGTTGCTATTTGGTGGCAAAATATGAAGATTTTTCAGAAAGCCATAAATCAGGAAGTATTTAACTAGTTACAGGAGTTTTAAAGATAAGTTATTACAGAAAAGACCAGTTTTTCAAACTACTTCATGAGAAATGTGAATACAGGGATGACGTTTCCAATATCTTTCAGTAGAAGTATGACAGCTCAGGGTGTGCCACTTAAGTATGGTAAAGCAGCAATGCTTTACTTCACGTGATTCATACACCCACTCTTATAAAAGCCAGGATTAGCATTTCGCCCATGAACTTGGGGGTATCTGTTTCCAAGAAATAGTGAGTTATAGCTTAACAATTTCACAATCAATTTTTCTTCTTGGTATCGGGGATTGAACCCAGAAGTGCCTAAACACTGAGCCACATTACATTTCCAGCCCTTTTTATATATTATTTTGAGACAGGGTCTTGCTAAGTTGCTTAGAGCCTCCTTAAATTGTTGAGACTGGCTTTGAACTTGTGATCCTCTTGCCTCAGTCTCCAGAGCTGCTGGGATTATAGGTATGAACCACCACACCCAGCAATGTTTATCATTTCTACAATTACACATACTCTTGCTGGCTTCTGGAGAAAAACTAAGTTGTTCAATTTGTGAAGTCCTCACTGACAATGCCTTATATCACTTATTGATCCAACTGAGAATGATCAATGGAAATAATTACCAGAGGAACTGAAGGAAGGAAACAGGATGCAGAGATAGTGAGAGGCTGCAACAAAGAAGAGATCATGTAGATGTTCTAGGAGAGATGTCTAGGAAGATGAAGGGGAGAGAGTACAGAAGTAGGAGAAATGGGGAAAAGTAGAAACGGAAAGCAGGTAAGCTTATAGGGAAAGGAAGAAAATGTGTTTAAGGAAAGATTCAGCAAGTGGTTTGCATTCCATGAAGACCAGGGATGGGGGTGGAAGGAGGTGGTCCTAGATGAGAGGGAACAGGTGAACTAGCAGAGGAAGAAGTGGAGGGACACTGGACTTGGTGGGGGAAGACAACCCAAGACATGAAATCTATAACAGGCCACCATCCAGGGAAATATGCTTGAAGCTGGACAGAGACCAGGAAATCAAGGGGCAATGGGTTGGGGGTAATCAACAGAATAAATTTTCCTCCATCATGAAGTGGGATTATTGTTGCTATATACATATACACACATAAATAATATATATATTATATATATATAATACATATGTAACAATAATATATATAAAATACTATTAAAGATTGCTACAGTAAGAAAAACATTTTCTTCCAGGCATCCAACAGAATATGAATAAAACATGAGGACCTTTAGAGAGAAACAGCAAATCAGATTAAGGCAATTAGCCTCTGTGTCCTCAGGAAGGCCTGGATAGAACCATTTTGGATAATGGAGAACCCAGGAACACACAAATCCCTAATTGTATTTGGCTCTTCCTGCCCTATGGTTAGAGAAAGGTCAGAACAAACCAGTTCCAGCCTACTGCAGGTAAGTCTTGTTTCCTTAAAGATATACACAGAATTAAAAACAAATACATTATTTTGTACATTTTGGCACTGTATTGATACACAGCTATCCAGACAGATGGTTTGAGCTGCAATCCATTGTTAAAAGAATCTTAAAATCCTTCTTACTTGAATTTGTTTCTCTCTTCCCGTTCTATTCTCTGCAACCTTTCTTCTCTCTCCTGTCGCCGCCTCTCTCTCTCTGCCGCCAGTGACTCTTGGTGCTGCCTAAAGGATGATGTGAGAAGACCACTCAGTGATGACCTGAAGGTACAATGAGTTCATGTTTTAGTTGCTTGGACTGTTAAAAGTACTGAAGCAGGAATCGGTCGCAGCTTGGTTAGAACTGAGGGGCTGCCAGTATCTAGGCACTGCTTGGGGAAAATTATTGAGTGTCTCAGGTTGATTTCAGGAATTTTGTCCGTCATTGGTGATATGCAATCTGCTTCAAGCACTGCTAGGATAAAGAGATGGTTACATAAAATACCAAGCAACATGGTATATGCTTGGCATATAGTAGTCAATCAATCACAGGTATTGTTATAAATAGAAAGTATTTCAGTAAAATGCATAAAATAAAAAAATATATATCTTTACAATCTATGTTAAGACATTGATAACCTGGAATCACCTTTCCAACTAAAAATGTTTTCTATTATGTACTAAAGATATTTTACCATATACCAGTTTTTTTTAATATGGAACCTCAAAACAATGGTTATCTTAAAACAAGATGTTGAGAAGACAGATGAGGAGAACAGCAATGGTCTAAAAGGCAAATAAAGTAAATTTCCCCTGTATCAAGAATTTCCCATGACTTCCCATGTTCAAAGAATGATCCCTGGCTCTTGGTAACACCACACACTCTGGTCTATTCACTAAGGATGACATTGTGGGTACGTCAGCTATGTAGGTGCTTTGGTGAGGAATCACAGGGGTAAAGATCATAAGAAATGTCAGCAGAGAATGGGTGGGAAAGGGAAAAATCAGGTAACTCCATGGACAAATAAAGGGGTTATCTGGGGAATCTGTTGTGCCTCTGAAGGTTGTTGCTTTCATTTATGAAACAACAAAACTTCCAAAGCCAAGATATAAACATTTATGAAATGTATTTTTTTCAATTTATTTATTGAAGGATATAGCTGGGATAAAATAATACTTGAATTCAAATATGCCTGCACAGTGGGGAACACAAGGCCTCTTAGTGCAGGAGAAAAGGTGAGTCACCTGTGGCTGTCAATTGGGGTGGAGAAGGAAGTGGAGGGAAAAAAAACTCACTGGCCCTGTAACCAAGTCCTATAGAAGTCCTGTAGAAGCTCACAGTGGAGCTTCTACATCAACCCAACACTTGGGCATAGACAGATTTATCTTTCATGTAAAATAAGTTCAGACCTTGCCCTATCTGACCTCTGTCTTCTTTGATTTACTGTTATAGTTTTTAAACGCTATATGAAACCAATGTAATCCACAGCTAAAGTGAAGGAGTTTATTATCTCTTGTACACTGATAGAAATTGTTAGACATAACAGGGTTAATAAGTTTTATCTGATAGATGAACCCAGAAAATACATTAGATCCACAGACTTTTTAAAAACTGACCATCTTGAATGAATGCCAAGAATTGGTTCCCTCATGACCATAATGCAATCAAGTTGAAAAAAAGCTAAATTTGAAAAGAAATTGACATAATTGGAAAATTTAGTTTACTTCTAAATAACTCAGGTCAAAAAAAAAATACAGAAAGCTAAAAAATACAAAGGGTACCATAATGAAAAAGCTGTATGTCAGAGTTTGTAGGATGCTTCTAACATATTCAGAAATAAATCTATTGCCTAAGTATTTATATTAAAGAAGAGCAAAAGTTAATGAGTAGTCAACCCAACAATTAGAAAACTGAATTCAAAGATAAAGGGAAAGAAAGAACAAAAACTTTAAATTGTACACCTATTTTTTATAAGAACTTTTATCAAACTTAGAAATAGAAAACTTTCTTAATCTGATGGATGTTCAGCAGAGACATTTTTAAAAATTGTAGTGAGCATTATTCTTAAAGCTGAAACACCAAGTAATTGCATGTTAGAAATGATATGAAGATGCTCCTATCATTGCTCATATTTGACATTGTTCTGATGGCCCTAGCCAATACATGAATAGATAAAAAACATAATTCAATGCCATCATTTGCAGATAATTTGATCTCTCTACATAGCTGATAAAAGTTATTAAAATTAACAATTCCAGTAAGTCTCTACATGCAAAATATACAAAAATCAACTGCATTTTCATATACACCTTACTAAGTTAGCCATAAGTTAACTATGAATTATGTAACTCATAATTCATGAACATACAAAAAGATTTTTATAAAACATTTTAAAACTCAAATATGGGCTGGGAGTATTTCTCATTGGTAAAGTACTTGCCTAGTATGTATGAAAGACTCAAGTCCATGGTAATTGTATCATATTCATGAATAGAAAGATACAGCCAAGATACCAATTCTTCTTTTCCTCAATTAATACAATTTCTGCATACCTCTAACTCAACTTCCCAAAAGGACTTTTCATGAAACTTTACATGCTGAGGTCCAAGTATAATCAACACAATTTTGAACAAGAACAAAACAGCATTGGTCCCACTAGATATCAAATTTATTCTATAACCACAATGATCAAGTGCATGAATTGAAATATGGAATAATGGAATGAGTAGAGCCAGGACATAGATGCTCAAGATATACGAGATACACACAAATTTATATACATATATATATATATATATATAAAACAAATTATAAAATTAAAATGTATATTTTACTTGGATTTGCATATTAAAATTTATGTTAAGTTATAAATTACGTATAACATGTACAAATATTTATTTCATACAGATGGAATAAAGAATCATGACAGATATGTCAGTACATATCTTCAAGGAAAGTACAAGACTAACAAATGCTGCTGGGACTACTGTTAGCTATAAGAGTAAAATATAACTAGCTCTGCCTCACACCCAAACAAAAAAATTCCAGCTAGTTTAAGTGAAAAAAGCAAATCTTTACAACTTTTATATCCCAGGATAGAAAAAAAATTTAGATGAAAAAGGAAACTGGATAAACACATATAAATTTTAGAATTTGTATACATTGAAAACCACATAACAAAGAAAATCAATGGCCTAGAAGCAGCTACTTATGACATGTATAAACCAGAGGATTTGAATACATTGTACAAATATAATACCCTAAAATCAGTATGAAAAAGAAACTACCTTATAGAAAAAAACAGGCAGAGAATAATAGGTATTTCACTGAATAACAAAGTTAAATATCCAATAAACATGTGAATGATGCTCATTTTCACTAGAAAATCAGGAGAAGGAAATGCAGGCTAAACCCAACAGTAAAATTCCAGATCCATTCTCTTCGTGCCCTAACTGATCCCTAAAACATAATAAGATCAAAGGACTCCGAGATCATCTGTCCTGGATATATATAAACCATTTTAGTCATACTAGAAACAACAGTTAGAAATACAATATTCAAAAGTTAAGTTTCTCTAGGTGTCCTGCTACCCAGATAAGCTCAGCACGTGGCAGTATCAACCTGGTCCTACAAATCCTATTTCTGGAAGTTTTTCAAGGTATAATACAAATGCCACATTGAAGCATACAAAGGGAATAGCCCAAATTATCACTACAAAAAGATCTCCCAAATTCAAGCTAGCATGGTAAATGCTTTTTAACGGTATCTTTTATATTTTATCTTTCATAGTAAGTTCTCTAGAAACACCTACAGTGTTTGGAAGTTGTTGCAGTGTTTCTTAGCTAGTTTGGGGACAAAGTGGTGTAAAGGAATGAGCACAGTGCTTAGAATGAGAAAATTTTAGTGAGGATAGTCACTTAACCTTTTCAAGCCACTGTTTACTTCTTTGTAAAATGGGGATAGTCATACATACAACTCACGAGATACCATATAGTTTAAATGAGAATGTCTGCATGAATTTCCTTCAAATACCATCTGGGCCATGGTAGGCCCTCAAAAGATACCATTTCATGCTGGAATGTAAAATCTGTAGGTGGCGACAGAGAGGGATGCACAGTGCAATTCAAAAAACCATGTCTGGAGAATCACCCTGGCAGTTCCCAGCCAGAGAGGTGCCAGCGGGCAGGGGTTCCACATGAACCTTCCCATCATGGCTACCAGCTGGATCAGTCGTCAGGACTGTGTAGCACCCAAAAATACACCTGGAAAGCTGAAGTCATCTGAAGTTACATCCAAGGCAGCTGTGACCAAGTGAAGCCATAGGAAAGCAGATGGCAAGAGGCCAGAGGGGGAGAGTTTGCAAGAGACTGGATGATGTACTCTGAGCAACAGAAGCTGCGATATTTAATCCCAGAATTGGCCCTCAGCCTTCACCTGGCTAAAGCCTCCCTCACCAGAACATTTGGAACAGGGCCTTTGATTGAGTAGAAAATGACTGGTAGTAGCAGCTCCCATTTATGCAGATAGAACCAGCTGTTTTAATCCATACAACCTCTTACACCAAGTTTTCTGATTGTCCCCTTTAGAAAATGAGGAGACTGAAGCACAAAGAAGTTACATCGAGGATGTAGAAGAGTGGGGCTTTTAAACTGGCCTGTAAGGCCAGAGTCCACATTGACCAGCATCCCTCCTCGTATACCTCTAGTACGGAGAGTACCATGGGCACAGCACCTGTCACAGTACACTATCAGCATAATTACTTTTTTTAATTTCTTCTCTAGAGATGATCACTACCATAAATTTTATCTTTATCATTGCCCCCCATATGTTTTTATATTTTTTATTGACAGCTTAGGTTTTGGAATCAGATCCTATTTTGTGGCTCATCTCTCTGGCCTGGCATGTGGAAGAACCATACTGCCTGAAGAATCGATTAACTATTAAGAAGCATGAAGTGAGAACAACTTGTAGGTCCCAGTCTCAGTGCTGCCTCCAACCCCTAGCCCATTCTCTATAGGAAAACACATGATGGTGATCTATGGAGAAGGAGCTGCTTGCACAAGGCCCTGTCCTCTGGCAACAGCTGAGTGAAAGCAGAGTAGGTTCCTGCCTTGAAGCAGCCATCCAAAGGCAGGCTGTGCAGTGTCACCAGAGGCTTCCAGTGCAGAAGTCTGAGCTAATTGCAGACCCACACTCAGACTCTGAACCGAGAGCTGGGGAGAAACAGAAGTCATAGATCTGCAGGTAGGAGGCTCTTAGTGGCCCAGTATGAGACCCAATT